ATTCCCGACGATAAATTGTATATGAAGCCCATAGAAGCCCATAGATTTGATTCCAGAGCTGTCAGATAAGCGAAATTCATAGAGGCAGAGAGAGGCAGAGAGAGAAAGAGACGGAAAGAGAGAGAGAGAGAGAGGAAGAGAGAACGTGCGATTGCATCGATTATTTATTTTCCTACATTTGTAATAAAATCTCATAAGTAGCACAAGTCAAGCGCAATGCCGTCTTAATTCTCTTCTCTCGCGACGGAACATTTTTTAACTAATGCATTAAGCCGTTTTACTCGCCAGTGACAAGATTATTTGTGGCATCTCAGTCTCCTAGTTTCCCGAATATTCGATTAACAAGATCAAATTTTCTTTACTCCCTCTTTTCCGTCACCTCCTTTCGATTTGTCAATATCTATTTACACAGACAGAACGATTTATTGAATCAAATAAATGTTTCTTTGGAATAGTCCAAACAAATTATTTGGTTGACACAACAAAAATATTTCTTTGGAACTAAGCTGCAAATACATATTTTTGTTGCTTCAAACAAAATTTGTTCAATCAATCAAAAAATTCGTTTGAACTATTCCAAAGAAGTGTTTATTTGATTCAACCAAATCGTTCTCTCAGTATATTTTTAAGGAATATCTACTGAGTAGCAATTTCAGATATCAGATCAATGTTCACGAAACGTTGAAAAATCCGCAAGAAAATGCGGCTTCTCAATCCAGAAGTCTGGAATATTAAAGTTATTATAAAAAATTGGCTGCGTTCCTAATAAAAATAAGATGTGAATGGAAAAAAAGACTTGCAAAAAGACTTCTCTTCGTGTGCCGACATGGGTATCCTCACTTGGAATCTCTATCGAATTTTTTAATCGCTGCCATTTTTATCTATATTTTTTACATATTCTTTTCATCATATTATCGATTACTCGTACAAGTTACCAGAGTATATTATCAAGCAGCGATTTAAAATCGATATCGCGGGTTACGACGTGCTTCCATGAGTGAGCGGAGGATATCTCGCGAGAATTCGACGTAATATCGCAGTACGTCGGAACCAGCTTGCCTGGAAAGTAAGGAAGCTGCTGCGCCCTCAAGAAAGGGTTGGCGCTCACACATCGTCCGTACGGCTGCAAGGAAGCTCTCAAAGCGCGGCTGTCGGTGTATGTAAGAGAACGACGGTATGTGTATGTGTATACGGAGGGCGCGCATAAAACGCCAACCACCACATCCATCCACGTGCTTCGGATTCATGACGACGAGGCGGTTGCTCGCGCGTGCGCGCCTTATTTAGCAATACACCGCCGCGAGCTCTCAGGCGAATTGCATTAACAAGTCTAAAATAATCCCAGGCCGGCAGCCCTGCTCGATGCTGCAGAAGAATTTAGCCTCCATCTCGTTTCTTATCGTGAAACGTCCTCGTTCCCCACCGCTCCCTTCGTCCTTCCAGCGCTTCCGGATGTGAGACGCGCCGCAACTCCCAACTTCGCGGCAGATTATCGTGCGATTTGAATACAGGTTCCCCCATTCTAATTGCGATCCCTAATTGCAGACTTACAGAATAATAATGTCAGGAGCAAAATGTGAATTCGGGTGGATTTCGTTCTTCTGCAATACGTCAGATAGAAACGCTCTTGGTGCACTGAGAAGAAAAATACTTGAAAATTTATTCGTGTGGGGCAAAAGTTCATCTCACAGAAGTAAACATTATTTCGCAAAAGTCAACTTTATATCCCACAAGTAAATTTTCACGTGTTTTCTCTCAGTGCAAATGTTTACGAGTACACACACACACGGTTTGGTCCATCTTGATCTATGTTGCCAAGATCATATTCTCGAGCAATCTCCAGAGAATAAGTCATAGCCGTCTCTCGTTGTTGGCTAAAAATATTCGTTGCTAAGAAAAGAACTTGGAACTTTCTGACCATTGATGCCCGAACATTCGCTAAATCGAGAGTTATACGAGCCTCATGCGTATACGATTGAAACCATTACAATTTAGGCCATTATAGCTAGAACTGTTTATGCGATTTTCGAACTCAAGCGTTATGTTTAAGGCCGAAAATCGTGTAACTTTCGATCTAGGAAATGTCCAGGTTTTATTACACATCCTCCAGACGCGTTGAACCTTACGATTAATTACGTTTCAGATAGTTTTCTTTTCTCGTGTAAATTCGTTATCTGGCGCGTGGAAAAGTTCGATCCCCTTGAAATTTCGCCATTACAATCTGAAAGAGCGCCGCTCGCCCCGTTTCTCGCCATCTTTTTCTCCCTCTCGATTTATTTCTTTCTTTTTCTCCTCTCCTCTCCTTGCAGTCTTTTTCATACACTTCTCGCAAGCAGTTTCGGCAAAGCACTTTGCCCAATAGCGAGACGAGACGAGACGAGACGAGACGAAACGGCCACGTCTTTCGAAAATCCGATTTCCGTCACGAGCGAGCTTAAGGCAGTCGATACGGCAGGATTACTCGTGTAACTGCGAAGTGCAACACTGTGAGGACTACTTCCGGAGTCTCTCTCGCGACAGAACGGTCATTTTTCGCGAGATAGACGCACGCGCGCTGTTTGCCCGATTTCCTACTGATGCATCGGCCTTCTTCGGCCTGTGATGCAATGGGACGGGATTCTAGTGTGCCGGTCCTCTAAATTCCAAGCCGGAAACTCCGACTTTCGTTGCGAATCTGTTAAGACCCAGAACTAACGAAGCGGAAGGGATATCGCGCGCGACGAATTAATTGTTGGGCATCTCAGCGGCGCGATAAGACGGAGGAGCTTGTTAATTTTCCGCCCCGCTGAAAGCACCGCAATTTTATAGTAATTAATCTTACGAGGCTACATGGTTTTTTGTATCTTAATTACACATCGTCTCGGCGTAATATATATTTCAACGAAAAGAGAGACGCGCACTGTGTATCGCGCCTCACCGCTGAACTGCGAATTAATTAATTATACTTCCCGAAATCTCATGTCTTGACAAAATCGCTTTGAACTAAGATAATGTGTCGCGTAACTCGCGGATATCTCTTATGTCACGAAAGAAATCGATGCGCAAATCATAATTACACCTGAATAAGAACCAACGAATGCTCAAATTTGTAGAGAATGCAATGGGATAAAAAAATTGATAGAATAAAGACACTTTAAGAGCTAACTTTTTAAATATTTTCTATTACGAAGTGTGAACACATCTAAAGCGTTTCATACGTTCATTTTTAATGTATATTGAAAATCAGAAGAAATCTTTGGGGGAACGCGTGGTAGTTCCAACAAAATCTGTTTTCCTACTTGAAAGCGCGTGTTGCAATCTATTAACCTGATTCTGTATAAATTTTTCAACCAGAATCGATCATTTTTTTACGAAATCAAACTGGATCAAATTGGATCCTAATTAGAGATTTTCCGTGTAGGAAGTTGCAGGGGAGACGCAGAATACTTTATAACATCCGCAAGACGGATATCAATCTTGTCGTACAGGCGCCAGCACGTTCGATTCAGATGAAACGTAGCTAATGGCTCCTTCTCTTCTGCCGAGTAGTTTGCCGTTCCTTTTGGGATCGCGCGAATCCTTTGAGTAGCGAACGAAACCAATTCCTAATAGTTCCTTTTATCCCCGCCTTTTACAGCGCGTTCCTCCGCGCGCGAGAGATAACGCGGCTTTCAATAGATTTATATTCGTATCGCGATGGAAGTAAATTTCTCCAGCAGACACGCACGCTAGCTAATTTATGTATAGCTTAACGTCACGACATTTTATTAATCTCTCATATTACCCTCCTCCCTTCCCTCCCCCCTCCTCACGGAGCTCTATTCCACTCGAGTTTAATCCGCGGAAAATATCCACGCGATTCCTTCGTATTTATATTTCGAACGTGTGTATGTATGTGTGCGTTGTTTTAATGGAAAAGCAATTAATTCACTCGCGGATGAATTGTTAGCCGTGTTCAAGGAGAAGCAATAATTTATATCGCGATCAAAAATACAAGGATGTTTTGTGGGAAGATGAGATATATTATGACGGGAGCAGCCCACCGACAGTATTGATTGCGATCGATACTGGTGTTTGTCAAGATTATGCGTGCACCGGGATGATACAGGGGTTTCTGTGCGCCACTAAAGATTTATTTCCGCTCAATCCAATTTCCAGACGTCGCTGCCACGTTAAGTTCCGCTATTTTCAATTTCACGACGGCGCATCAATCTTTCATACTATCTGTGCACATTTTTACCGTATCGTTTAATGCATGATGAAGAACTAATAATTCATTATGATGGAGATGTGAAGATAGTTCCTGTAGATTTATGATGTATGTATCACGTATGTGTGTGGTAAGCCCATGTGATGGAACTTTAACAATATAATCTCTCTCTCTCTCTCTGCTCACCGTAGTATGAGGAAAGATCACGTGAATATAAATATGAAAGTGCTTCCTTCTCGAGCTTTTGTTTCTAAAAGATTCGTAAAAATACTTTGCAAAATTATAGGCGCGGCGTTGGAACAGACGTACGATCCCAGACAGCACAGCAGATCTCTAGAGGATGTCCTGAAGACGTTCTCAGGACGCAGAACGTTCTCAGAACGTCTTTAAAGAGAATATCCTGTGGAGATTTGTGTTTGAAACTCTTACGCGGAGAGAATTTTATAGTAAAAATTACTAGAAAATTATGCAATTAAAGAACATATCGATATTCTGCTGTAATTTTTCCGTTTGATATGTAACATTTAAATTTTAGAAACTGAGATTGCCAGAATTTGCAATAAACTGTGATATCACGATATTTCTTAATATTTAGAATTATATTTTAATAATGTATTGTCACTACTATTCTACTATATACTACATTTAATAATGTATTATTACTGCTATTAGAATCAAAAACACATGCGCACACATACAAAAGTAATTAATAACAAATTTGCAATAGTCCGCTATTTGAATTATGTTTTAAAAAGTACTAAACGAGATATTCATAAACTGGAAAAGAAAAAGGCACATTTTTAAATATATTTTATTTTATTGAACATTATATAGTAGATCAATATAATAATCTAAACACATAGTTATACACATAAAGCTATTCTAGAGCTTCACAAGAAATGAATACATAAAGTTATTCAAGAGTTTCACATAAGAAATCGATACTGCGCTCTACAAAGCTATAATTTCAGTGCTAAGTTAAAAAATAAAAATTGGACAAAACATACATATAATGTAAGTTTTGTAATGCTTACAACACGGATATATTATAGCATAGCTAATAGTAAAGTCACAAATACATGTTAAATAAACATTTTTTTAATACACAAATATATCGCAAAAAATACAAACAGAAAGCATTATATATATTCGTTGGTAAAATATATTCAAAGCAGAAAATAAAAATAAGTGAAAAGTGCAATATATACACCCACATTCAGAAAAATAAAATATATGTTGCTTTTGCAACTTAGTATTTTAAAAATTGTTTTTTCTCAATATCAATACAAATAAAAAAAACCGGATTAATACTGTCCAATTAATCGAGAAAAAAATTAAGTTTTATAAGAATATTGCTAATTTATGGCCGATAATTAGACCTTTATTTCGAACTTTCTTTTTATCAATAATAGAGTAAAGATCTTGATGTTTAAATTAATATCAAGTTTCTAATGATTTTTGTGTAACATTAGTATTCTCCTGGTATATGGTCTAGGTAGTATGGTCTAGATATTTGGTTCGTGGTTTGCGAACTTGATTCACTTGTAGACTTAATATCTTGTAGACTTGTAGACTTGTAGACTTGTATCTTACTACTACTACTACTAGTTTTAGTATCGCAAGACAAAATTATCTGAATTTCAGTATATTTCATAATGTGATGACAACATGCAGAATTCGTGGATGTTTCGATTAATTTTAGAAGTTCTTGTTTAAATATATCCTTTGGTTGTATCTGGATAAATTTTAGAATATATTTCTCTAAATATTTTGTATTATATAAACATATTTTTGCCAATAATTCTAAGTAGTTTTCTACATTAATTAATGTCATTAAGAGCAATTCACACAACGTTTTAAGATCTTGTAAATCATATTTATCGGCTGCTATAAAGAGATCAGACAATGTATCTACATTGTCGATATGATCAGGTATAAAACAAACTTTTATATAAGATAATAACAATTTTAAAACATCGTATTTCACATCTGTTATTTTTACCTCATTTGTTATACCTTCCTTCATCTCACAATGGAACATAGCCTGGAAAACTGTGCTTTTTGCACATATTAAATTTTTGTTTGCATAGAGCCGTTTATCGCCTATTATAAAAGTAACAAGTGATTCTTTATCAAGATCAGTCTCCTTTATATTTTCTGATGATGTATTATAGGATTTCGATATTGTTGTGTACATAGTTTTCTGTGATACATTGTTATACCATTCACATTTAATATATATTGTAAGAGTGTTATTAGGCAAGTATTTTGTTGTATTTTTCAAGAGTAATATAATAGGTATACTGCATATATAAATTATTTTATCTGTCATATTTATCGTTTCATAAAAGTTTGGTTCATTATTCTTTAGAAATACGTGACATATACCTACATACTTGTGAGTAGACATTAGATACAAATACAAATTTTGTTTTTCCTTATCTGTATTTAGCTGAAATTGAACATCTTCTGAGTTGATAATGCCGGTATAAATAGGAAGTTGCAGTTGATATATATCCCAAAAGTTTGCAATTTCCCAAGTAAAGGTTAATGTTGAAATATCTTCTTCTGTTCGGCAGTAACCAATATAATTGTCTATAGACTTAACTAACGAGAAGGGTGATTTATCTGTAATATATAAAAGCATTAAGATTTTTATAAAAGTTATGGGATGTAATTAAAATATTTCATAAAAAAACATCTCTATAAGAGTAGATTGAATAATAATAATACTTAATAACCATTTGAGGATTTACAGATTGTACATCCTAATAATTTTATAATATTAGCCATATATCTAGAGTCAAGCTATTTATAATATTAGCGATACATGTATAGCTAAGCTATTAAATCCCTTTGTATCATTCAATATATTTCATACATTTTTACAATTTAAAGGGAATTTTATATTATTTATGGCATATTACAATTAAAGTACCTATTGTAATCACGTAAGTTCTTTATGCTACTTGACAAATATTGCATTGTTGTAAAGAATAATCTTAATTATTGGCTTGTAATTTAGATTATTTGATTGCATAATGAGACATAATAAAAAATATAGGTCTAATAAGACATCTGCGAAAATAAAATTTACTTTCAATAATGTTGATATAAAATAATTCAATATATATAATGCCTGTAATCTATACATTTACCACCAATCATAAATCATAAATTATATAGTTTTGGATCTTTGCAAATAAAATATTCTTCACTATAAATGTTTCATCTTTTATTTTGGAATTATACCTGTTAAATTAAATAAATTATACTTATACAATAAATTATACCTTGGCAATCTTTGCTCACCGCTTTTGCGTCCATCTTCACGGTCGTCTTTGAACAATATCTTCACAAAGGATATCGAAATTATTGTGTGAAGATAATCAGATATAGCGTAACTAAAAACACAAGTGTGTGTGCGAATTTTCTGTGTGAAAAATGCCTACACAAAATAATGCTGGGTAATTATTTAGTTTAGCGGCATCAATTGTTTTCTAGCTCTATGAAGACAATGGCCGCGTTCAGTAGAACAAGTGATCAGTAAGCGCTCAGGGAGCTCTTATATATGATTTGGCATATTCTTTTAGATCTCCAACTATACTCCAATCAGATGCAAGAGCTCACTGAGCGCTTACTAATCACTTGTTCTACTGAACGCGGCCAATGAGACAACCGACTATATAACCATAGACTATATAACCATCATAGATATAATATATCTAAACCAAGCTCATGCCTTTGAATAGTGGGAGTAAGTCCCGATCTACAAAAGGTGTAGTAAGCTTTAAACCGTAAGAAATTAACCAATTGATTATTCCTCTATAAGTCCACTGTGATTGGTCAATTTTTTAAGGCTTAAAGCTTCCTACACCGAAAAAATGATGTGAAGATAGGCAGATATACTTCCTTCAATATATGGTTTCCGGTAATTTAATGCCTCAGTGCCATTTGCAATAGGCAGATGTAACGTAATTAGACACACACGTGTATGTGCGTGTGAATTTATTTCCTGTGCGAAAGATGCTGCAATATAACAAATTCTATGCTAACGATAAGACTTTTGACTATGTAACTATAGACCCTATAACTCATAGATCGTTAGTTGGTCTTTTTCGCTGGAATAAACATGAAAAGTGCCTTTACGAATCAAATGGTGACTCCCAGAACTCAAATACCCGATGAAAAATTTTTCGTGCAAAATTTTGTATGAAATTTGTCCATACATAATTATGTATAATTATATATAATCATATAAAATTATATATAATTATACACAATTATGTATAACAATATGTATAATTACATATAAATTTATGCGTAATTATGTAAAATTATATATGAATTTATATATATAATTATATATAATTATATATATAAGTAGAATGTATGAACATAAATGGGCAAATTTGATACATAATAATATATAATTATATATAATTATATATAATTTTATATAATTTTATATAATTATATATGAAAAATTTTTCATTGGGTAACCATTTATCTATAACTATACTGGATAGAGCACTGCTATCATAGACTTTGACCCGCATTCTGAGTTCTCTTTTAAGGATAAATCGGCCTCAAAAAGTGGCTTATAAGCTTTCTGATTGGCTATGAGTCACTTTTAGAGGCTCATTTATCGTTAAAAGAGAACTCAGAATATGGGTCTTAGTATACATAGGGTCTGTTTTCTATTGCTGAACTGGCTGCTCTAGTTCTCTCTCGTCTTTCTTCCACCAATCTTTCATCTATATATCTATCTCTTTTTAAGTTCCGAAAGTGTACACTAGTTCAGCAATAGAAAACAGATCCACAGACTGCGTGTTCTCAATGGGTGCTTTCCAATTGCGTACACTGTGTTACACAAAACCAGTTTATTGGTTGCATATTATCCTACAAGATATTTTAGATAATATGTGACCAATAAACTGGTTTTGTGTACGTGTGTGTCAAGATGTGTTAAGCAATTGGAAAGCACCTAATATTTTCTAAATAGCGTGTTCGACTGGCTCTGAGCTCTTATTCTTGAAATTTTTGCGTATACGTCATTTTTACTGCGCAGTTACTTTATAGTATGATTAAACCTGCGCAGTAAAACTTACATATACGTAACTATTTCAAGAATAGACTCTTATAGAAATATCATACTAAGAATCATTGATAATTACTTATTTTCAGTATTAAAAATACTGGATAATATGTAATTATCAATAATTCTTAGTATGATATTTCTATAAGGGGGTTAATTGCTCCGAGAACGATTAATGATATCATAAGCCAATCTTTACTAGCCAATCATGAAGCTTATAAGTACTTGTTCGACCAATAAACGTAAGCTGAATAACCCATAATGAGTTAACCCAGAGCCAGTCGAACGTGCTAAAAGTTTGAACGCATCAGGAAAGAGAAAAAGATAGCAACGCATAGTGGAGATAAGAGTCAACACACAAAGAAATCCGTAAACTTAAAATGTTACGGATGTTCTTGTGCGGAGGTTCTATAAAGCCTTCATTAGAAAAAGATAGAATGATGAACGAAAGTATGCTATCTCTTTCTATTCTCTGACGTCCGCTTACGCAGTCTAGGGCTGCGTTCTGAAATTCACTGCCAATTCACTGCTGAAAATCCATAGTTTATGTTACATATACTATAGAATTTCAGCATTGGCAGTGAATTTCGGAACGCAGCCTGTGTATACCAATAAGGAAACCCATACAAATGTCCACTTCGGATTTTCATAACTTATAATATGTTGTACTAGATCAAAATAACAGATACGTTTTTTACTATATAATGAAAAAAAACCGATTTTCTTCAAAGAGGTATTTCACTCCCTAAACTTGCGAAAGGGCACATATAATAAAAAAACGTATCTTTTATTTTGATCTAAAGTACAACATATTATAAGTTTATGAAAATCGAAGGCGGACACTTATGTGGGTTTTCTTGTATGTCTGAGGGTCGGTTGTTTCTTGGTAAGTTAAATCATATGTCTGTTTTTTTTTTCCTTCAATTTAGACAAAGGCAGACATATGATTTAACTATCAGTTAATTTACCAAACAGTTGGGACAATCGGCTCTAAAACTGCCATACTCTCTTCATGGTATCCAACGGACAGAACTGCGTGAGAGAGTTAAGGTTAGTTGTTCCAACTTCTTGATAAATCAACTGATGGTTACATCATATATCTATCTTTGTCTAAATTGAAGGAAAAGTAAAGACAGACATATGATTTAACTATCAGTTAATTTATCAAGAAGTTGGAACAACTGGCCCTTAAACGGGCACCGTGTTGTCTCCTTTTAGTGTAAACTGTTACAATTGGTTAGATAAGAATAGCAAGGTACCGTTTAACTATTTCTCTCACACAGTTCTACCCATCCGAGAACAAAGGAGTGCTCTATCCAAGCTGCGTTCCGAAATTCACTGCCAGTACTGAAAATCTACAATATACGTGACATAAACTATACATTTTTAGTACTGTCAGTGAATATCAGAACACAGTTTATATAATCAAAGGCTGGGACAGTTGTTACGAGAACTACGCACACACGAGATGACAAAAGGACGTCAATTTTGTGCAATATAATGTTCACCATTTCTTTTCTCTTTTATATAGATTTTTACATTGACCCAATATTCACGGCCAACGTTAAACTACGTTTGTTAAATCGCTAGGAATCGATTTTACACGTGTTTTCTGTTTAAGACAAAAATTTCTCCAGACAGCGACAGACCGTTCAACTTTTATCTAATTCAAACTGTGTCACAAAATTCGTTCCTTTTTCTTTTATAAACATAAGATACAAATGTTATATGAAGCTAGATAAAGAGGTTTTGTCGAAGCACGCGAGATCAAAAAACATGGTCGCGTTTTGAGCGTCAAGTTTTAAACGCAAAAGCGGGATCTGTAAAAAACTCGCAAGTGTTTACGTCCCTGACCCGAACGGTTGTGTTATTTTACACGACCAACTAGTTGAGCAGAAGCAAGATTATATATTCCGCTATAACTACAAAACCGATGCATTTCTAAGTAGTCTTAATCGATTCTTCCGGGTTATATTATATGATAAAACTGTCTTTATTTTTGCTTTCCGTGTTCTCTAAAATCAAGTGTTTCCTTCTCGAGCTTTTGTTTCTACAAGGTTCGTAAAAATATTTTGCAAAATTATAAGTACGGCGTTAAAGCAGACATACAATCCCAGACAGCACAAGATCTTCAGAGGATGTCCTGCGGACGTTCTTAGAACGTCTGTAAAGAGGATGTCATGTAGAGATCTGTGTTGTTTGAAACTCTTACGCGGAGAGAATTTTATAGTAAAAATTACTACAGAATTGTGCAACCAAAGAACATATCGATATTTTGCCTTAATTTTCCCGTTTCATATATGACATTTAAATTTTACAAATTGAGATTGTCAAAATTTGCTATGATTGTGATATCACGATATTTCTTAATATTTAGAATTTCATTTTAATAATGTATTGCCACTGCTATTAGAATCAAAAACACATGCGCACACATACAAAAGTAATTAATAACAACTTTGCAATAGTCCGCTATATTTGAATTATGTTTTAAAAAGTACAAAGCGCGAGATATTCATAAACTGGAAAAGAAAAAGGCACAGTTTTAAATATATTTTATTTTATTGAACATTACATAGCAGATCAATATAATAATCTAAACGCATAAAGTTACACCATTCTAAAACTTCACATAAGAAATCGATACTGCATTCTACGAAGCTATAACTTCAGTGCTAAATAAAAAATAAAAATTGAATAAACGAAACATACATATAACTATTTAATACATATAATTATTTAAATTTTATAATGCTTACAATATTGATATATTATAGCACAATTAATAATCAATTCGCAAATATATCCCACACAGCAGCAATGTCCCAAATACATCATAGGGATATCTTGAAGATATCGTATATCTCAAATATATCTTTAGGATATCTCTATAATATATTTTGGATACCTTTGCTGTATGGGATGTTAAATAAATATATATGTTAATAATAATAATAATAATATGTTATATATATTGTATATGTGTATATATATGTCCTTTTATAAAAGATGCTGTTAACTAACCTATGAGTGACTTTCTATTATTGTTATTATATATATTTAAAAATGGTATACAGTATAGTGTAGTATAAAGAAAATATTAACAAATAAAATGATAAAATAATAAAATATTGATTATTAACAATTAGATAAAGATATTGATTATTAACAAGATATTGAAATTAACAAGATTTTGAATAAATATATCGCAAGAAATACAAACAGAAAGCATTATATATGCTCATTGATAAAATATAATTAAAGCAGAATATACAAATCTATAAAATCTATGATACATACATCTACATTCAGAATAAAATATGTGTTGTTTTTGCAACTTATAATTTAAAAAATTGCTTTTTCTCAGTATTAGTACAGAAAAAAGAAAATCGGATTAATACTGTCCAATTAATCGAGAAAGAAGTTGAGTTTTATAAGAATACTGCTGATTTATGGCCGATAATTTCGAACTTTTTTTTATCAATAAGGGAAAATTCAAAATAAAGATCTTGATGTTTAAATTAATATCAAGTTTCTAATAATTTTTATGCAACATTAGTATGGTCCTAGATAATTAAAATTCTAAGGTTTTTATGTTCGGGGATTTCTTCATCGGGGATCTCTTCGGGGATTTAGGACTTACTGATTCATTTGAGACTTCAGGTACTTTTATAGTACAACTATTACTACTACTACCTATAGTTCCAATTTCACAAAATTGTACTGCCTGAATGTCACTATATTTCGTAAGAGGAAGAGAAGATGCAGAATTTTCAATTAATTTTATCACTTCTGGTTCAAATATACACTTTGTTCGTATCTTGGCAAAATCTTGAATATATTTCTCTAAATATTGTGTATTTTTTAAGCATATTTTCGCGGATAATTCTGTATAGTTTTCTGCGTTAATTAACTTTATTAAGTGAAATTCACACAATATTTTAAGATCTTTTATGTTATATTTATCGGCTGCCATAAAGAGATCAGATAATATTTGTACATCTTTTACATTAAGATCAGGTATTAAACAAAATTGTATATAAGATAACAACAACTTTAGAATGTCGTATTTCACGTCAGTTATTTTTACCTCATTTGTCTCACCTTTCTTCATCTTAGAACTGAACATAATCTCGAAAACTGTGCTTTTTGCACATATTAAATTTTTATTTGCATAGAGCCGTTTATCACCTACTATGAAAGTAACAAGTGATTCTTTATCAAGAACAGTCTCTTTCGTTTTTTCTGATAAGTTAACGTAGGATTCCGATATTCTCGTGAACATAATTTTCTGAGATACATCATTTTGCCATTCACATTCAATGTATATTGTAAGAGTGTCATTAGGCATGTATTCTCTTGTTTTTTTCAAGAGTAATATAATAGGTATACTGCATATATAAATATTTCGATCTGATAAATCTAGCATGTTTACCATTTTATAAAAGTTTGGTCCATTATTCTTTAGAAATACGCGACATAAACCCATGTACTTTTGAGAAGAAATTAGATGCAAATCCAAATTTTGTTTTTCACTATCACAATTTAGCTGAAATTGAATGTCTTTCATGTTGATGATGTTAGTATAAATAGGAAGCATTAGTTGATATACGTTCCAAAAATTTTCAATTTCCCAAGTATAGGTTAGTGTTAAAATTTGTTCTTCTGTTCGACAATAACCGATATGATGGCCTGAAGACTTAATCAACGAGCAGGACGGGTCATCTGTAATATATAATAGCATTAAGATTTTTATAAAACTTATGGAACTTAAATAAAATATTTCATTAAGGGACATCTCTAAGAATAGATTGAATAATAATAAATGCATTTAATAAACATATCTGAGGATTTACAGATTGTAAATTCATTACATTCTAATAAATTTATATATTAGCCAAGCTATCTATAATATTAACTATACATCTTCTATACACAAGCTATTAAATCCTCTTGTATCATTGAATACATTGAATACATTTAATATACTTTTAGAAATTGAAGGGAATTTTATATTATCTATAATATACAAATATTACAAATTAATGTTTTTGTTGTAATCACACAAGTTCTCTATACTACTTAACATGACAGATATTGTATTGTTGTAAAGAATAATCTTAATTATTGCTTTGAGATTATTTGTTTGCGTAATAAAAGATCATAGGCAAAAATTAAAAATATAAATCTAATAAATTATCTGTGAAAATAAAATTTAATTATTCTTGATAATATTGATATAAAATAATTCAATATATAGAAACTAATGCCTATAATCTATACATTTACCACCATTCATAAATCATAAATTACAAATTTTTTTATCTTTGCAAATAAAATATACTTCATTATATGCACGGAAAAAAAGGTTTGGTTGAATTAATCAAATATCTGGTCGAATATGAACGATCCAGAAATTTTGATTGTAGTAACCCGAATTCTGTTTAAGTTAACAAGATTTGTGGTTGACTTAAACAGAATTCGGGTTACTTCAATCGAAATTTCTGGATTGTTCATATTCGACCAGATATTTGGTTAATTCAACCAAACCTTTTTTTCCGTGTGTGTTTTATCTTTTATCTTGGAATTATAAATTATACCTAGTCGAGAGAAGCGACCTTTTATAATGCTCATGGTTTCACGGTCGTCTTTGAACAATTATCCTCACGGATGCTGGAAAAATGATGTGTAGATAGTCAGATATGATGTAACTAGAAACACATGTGTATGTGTGTGTGAATTTATTTCCTATGCGGAAGATGTCTACAATATAATAAATTTTGCTGACAATGAGAAACCTTTATAGTTTATATAACTATAGACTATATAACCATAGCCCGGGAGTTTTTCGTTGAAATAAACATGAAAAGTGCCCTTGCTAGACAAATGACGACTGCCGGAACTCAAATAACATTGCGAGCACGCGTGTAACACTGTACGATTATTGGACATCACGTGTCGCGCATTGCGCTAGTTTGCAAGAGCCGTTAGAATAAGAGTGGTAATTGGCAGTTCACGGTTATATAATCAAAGGTTGGGACCGTGTGTTGTTATGAGAACCACACATACCAGATGACAAAGTACGTTAATTTTGTGCAATGTAATGTTCACCATTTCTTTTCTCTTTTGTATAGATTTTTAGATTGACTCAATATTCACGGCCAACGTTAAACTGCGTTTGTCAAATCGCTGGGAATCGATTTTACACGTGTTCTTTGTTTAAGAAAAAAATTTCCCAAAACAGCGACATTATAGACCGCTCGACTTTTATCTAATCCAAACTGTATCACAAAATTCGTTCCTTTTTTTCTTATAAATATAAGATACAAACGTTATATGAAGCTAGATCTGAAGATTTTGTCGAAGCACATTTTTCTATTTCAAAATACCGATCATTGTTATCATTGTATATCTGCGTTCGTTTCATTTTGCAAGCTCACCTGAGTATTTCTTCGAAGTATGTCCGTTCAGTATTACGTAACTATCTTGAGGAGGGGATTTTACTTTAATATAATCCTTAATAATTTCTTGATTGAACGACACAATATGTAATAATATGATTAACAAGTTAAATAGTCCTTAATTACATTAAATTAACTTCGCGATCTGAAATCTTCACGCTTTCTGAATATTTCGATGTCAATTCCGTACAACAGAATTCTGCTTCCGACGCGTATCAGAACAAGAAGAGAGCTCGAGCGCCGGTTACCGTGTCTTTTATAGTAAGTACTGGTCGCAAGTTTATATCGGTGTCCTTTCCTATCCCCGGATTAAATTCTAATACATTGTGCTCTAACGTATAGTGTACTTACCTACCGAGATATTTATAATCCGTGACTATTTGAGTGTAATAGCGAAATTCAAATACGCCGTTGTGAAATTTTACTGACAATTGTCTCACCGCTGTATAGTTAATCATGCATAGTGGTCAAAAGAACTTCTCCACGTTCTTTACCGAATACCAAATGCTATAAATGCTGCACTCTTTTGTTTCGCATTTCCTAGATTACAAAATTGTTGAAAAAATCTATGCTGATACAATTTCATCGATAAGATATACTGCGAATATTTATTTGTCTCATCGACATCTACCATCCTCTAAATAAAGTAAGGCTGTGATTACGACAGTATTTCGCAGTAGTTAAAATTACATTTAAGTAATCAGTTGATCACTATTACTACTACTACTGCTGCTATTATGAAACAATTAATAACAAGTTTGCAATAAGAGCACTATATTTAAGTCACATTTTAAAAAATAAAAGATGAAATATTTTACTATAAGGTAAAAGAAAAGAAGTCATAAAATATAAATTTTATTTTATTGAAGATTATGCATCGGCATAATAATCTAAACAATAAAATATATGAATTATGGGACTTAATTAAAATATTCATAAAGGGACATTTCTATAAGAGTAGATTGAATAACAATAAATACACTTAATAAACACATGTGAGGATTTACAGATTGTATATTCGAGTAATTTTATAATATTAGTCATATATCAAATAGCTCAAAAAGTTTGGTTATGTCATTCTAGAATTCCAGCTTTAAAAAATCGATACTGTATTTTAGGAAACTATAACTCCAGCGCTAAGTTAAAAAATACATATTAGCATGCTCCTAGCTAATTTCAATTATAATAGTATGGTTTTGAGGATTTTTTGGTTCTGGTTGGTTTACTTTAGTTATTCTTAGTTATTCTTGGTTTTCTTTAGTTATTTTTCGTGTTTGACCTATTATTGTACTATAAGTTTCAGTATCGCAATGAAGTACTGTTTGAATTTCAGTATATTTCATAAGATAAAGAAGAGATATAGAATTTGTTTCAATTAATTTTATCAGTTCTTGTTTAAATACACACTTGGGTTGTATCTGGATATATTCTAGAATATATTTCTCTAAATATTTTGTATTATTTAAACATATTTTTGTGAGTATTTCTATACAGTTTTCTGTATTAATTAAATTTATTAAGTGCACTTCACATAACATTTTAAGATCTTGTACGTCATATTTATCGGCTGCCATAAACAGATCATATAACATTTGTACATCTTTTACATTAAGATCAGCTATGAAACAAAATTGTATATAAGATAACAACAACTTTAGAATGTCGTATTTCACATCAGTTATTTTTACCTCATTTGATATACCTTCCTTCATCTCAGAACTGAACATAGCCTGGAAAACTGAGCTTTTTGCACATATTAAATTTTTGTTTACATAGAGCCGTTCATCGCCTATTATAAAAGTAACAACTGATTCTTTATCATGAACAGCCTCCTTCGTATCTTTTGATAATTTAAGATAGTCTTGTGATATTTTCGTGCACATAGTTTTCTTTGATATACCATTGTGCCATTTACATTCAATGTATATTGTAAGGATGTTATTAGGTACGCATTCTGTTGTATTTTTCACGAGTATTATAATAGGTATACTGCATAAACAAATTGCTGAATTTGCTACATCTACTTTGTTTACAGTTTTATAAAAGTTTAGTTCATTGTTCTTTAGAAATACGCGACATATACCCGTGTACTTCTGATGAGAAAGTAGATACAAATTCAAATTTTGTTTTGTACTATCAAAATTTAGCTCAAATTGAACGTCTTGCGACTCGATATAGTCAGTATAAATAGGACGCATCAGTTGACATAAGTCCCAGAAGTTTGCAATTTCCCAAGTATAGGTTAATGTTAAAATATTTTCTTCTGTTCGACAATAACCGATATGCTGGTTTATGGACTTAGCAAATGACAAGGACGACTCGTCTGTAATATATAAAAACATTAAGATTTTTATAAAAGTTATGGGACTTAATTAAAATATATCATAAAAGAACATCTCTATAAGAGTAGATTGAATAATAATAAACACACTTAATAGACATTGATATATAGATTGTGCATTCTAATAATTTTATAATATTAGCCTTACATCTATAGCCAAGCTATTAAATCCCCTTGTGTCATTGAACAGATTTAATATATTTTTACAATTTAAATAGAATTTTATATTATTTATGGCATATTACAAATTAAAGTTTCTGTTAATCACACAAGTTCTTTATACTACTTAACATGACAGATATTATATTATTGTAAAGAATAATCTTAATTATTATCTTGTAATTTAGGTTATTTGTTTGCTTAGTGAAAGATAATATACAAAAATTAAATTAGGTTATTTGTTTGCTTAATGAGAGATAATAGACAACAATTAAAAATATGGTTCTATTAATAATAAAGCGTCTATGAAAATAAAATTTATTCTTGATAATATTGATATAAAATAATTATATATAAACTAATACCTACAATCTATACATTTACCACCATTCATAAATCATAAATTACAAATTTTTGGATTTTTGCAAATAAAATGTACTTCATTATATGTGTTTCATTTTTATCTTGGAAATGTACCTGTAATTATTAATTATACCTGGTCGAGTCAAGAGATTTTTACTCATCGTATTTGTGTACATGTTTTCACAGTCGTCTTTGAACAATTATCCTCATGAAAGATGCTGAAATTATGGTGTGAAAATAGCCAGATATATCGTAGCTAGAAACACAAGTATATACGTTTATGAATTTATTTTTTGTGTGGAAGATGTCTACAATATAACAAATTCTGTTGATTAAATGACACAATATGTAATAATATGATTGACAAATTAAGTAGTTACATTAAATCAACTTCGCAATCTGAAATCTTCACGCTTTCTTAATACTTCGATATCAATTCCGTACAACAGAATTCTGCTTCCGACGCGTATCAAAACAAGAAGAGAAGTCGAGCGCCGATATCTTTTATTGTAAATGCTGGTCGCAAGTTTATATCGGCGTCCTTTCTTATCCCCGGGTTAAATTCTAATACATTGTGCCCTAACTTACAGTGTATTTACTTACCGAGATGTTTATAATTCGTGACCGTTTGAGTGTAATAGCAAAATTTAAATACGCCGTTATAAAATTTTTAATATTTATGGCATATTACAAATTAAAGTTTCTGTTAATCACACATTGTTGTACAGAATAATCTTAATTATTGTCTTGTAATTTGAATTATTTGGTTGCTTAATGAAAAATAATAGACAAAATTTAAATTAGGTTATTTGTTTGCTTAATGAGAGGTAATAGTCAAAAATTAAAAATATAGTCCTAATAAGATATCTATGAAAATAAAATTTACTCTTGATAATGTTAATATAAAATAATTTAATATATGAAAATAATTCAATATATATATAAGCTAATGCCTATAATCTATACATTTACTACCATTCATAAGTCATAAATTACAAAGTTTTGGATTTTTGCAAATAAAATGTACTTCATTATATATGTTTCATCTTTTATGTTGGAATTATACTTGTAATTATAAATTATACCTGTTCGAGTCAAGGGATCTTTACTGATCGCGTTTGCGTACATGTTTTCACGGTCGTCTTTGAGCAATTATCGTCACGAAAGATGCCGAAATTATAGCGTGAAGGTAGCCAGATATAACGTAGATAGAAACGCAAGTGTATGTGTATGTGTGTGTGAATTTATTTCCTGTGTGGAAGATGTCTACAATATAACAAATTCTGTTAATTAAATGACACAATTTGTAATAATATGATTGACAAATTAAATAGTTCATAATTACATTAATTCAATTTCACATTCTCAAATCTTCACGCTTCCTTAATACTTCAATGTCAATTCCGTACAACAGAATTCTGCTTCCAACACGTATCAGAATAAAAAGAGAGCTCGAGCGCCGGTTACCGTGTCTCTTATTGTAAATACTGGATAAGTTTTTGTCGGCGTCCTTTCCTATTCCCGGGTTAAATTTTAATACATTGTGTTCTAACTTACAGTGTATTTATCTACCGAGATATTTATAATCCGTGACCGTTTAAGTGTAATAACGAAATTCAAATACGCCGTTATAAAATTTACTGATAATTCTTTCACCGATGTACAATTAATCATGCACAATGGTCAAAAAAACTTCTGCACATGTTTTGCCAAATAGCAAGTGTTATAAATGCTGCACTTTTTTATTTCGCGTCTCCTAGCTTACAAAATTGTTAAGGAAACTATGTTGATACGATTTCATCGATAAGATACACTGCGGATATTTATTTGTCTCATCGACATCTACCGTGCCCTAAATAAAGTAATGTGATTACGACAGTATTTCGCAGTAGTTCAAATTACATTTAAGTAATCAGTTGATCACTATTACTACTACTACTACTGCTGCTGCTGCTGTTACGAAACAATTAATAACAAGTTTGCAATAAGAATACTATATTTAAGTCGCATTTAAAAAAATAAAAGACGAGGTATCTATAAGGTCGAAGAAAAGAAGAGTCGTAACATATAAATTTTATTTTATCGAAGATTATGCTACGGCATAATAATCTAAACAATAAATTATTATATCATTTTAGAGTTCCTTCTTTAAGAAATCGATACTGTATACTAGGAAGCTATAACTTCGACTATTAATTAGGTGAGATCGGGGCTAGATGTCTCTATACTTTAGAACTTCGAAGTTACAACTTGAGGCAACTAATTGTTGTGGCCGACTGTACAAACCGTTAACTGCGTATACTATTAACCGTATATTTTGTCTTGTATCTAACTGAACAACTCTAACTCTAAATAAAAGACTGAATATCTTGCATGAGGCAAATTTCGTGTGAGGCTAATTAATGCGAGTCTTAATAACACGTTTCAGCTAAAGGCAGAAACGACGTCTCAGTTTTAGTACTGCACGTCTTCTCGTACATATGAAATTCACGGTATGCACCGCGAATCAGCGGATCTCACGAACGATGATGGGGAGTGCGATCGCAGCGGAGGTGTATCGCTGCCGCACGATTTTCCTATTTACGAGCGGCGCGTGCAGCTCGCATAAAAGGTCCGTACTCGTTACGACGATAGCATATATAGTCACGGCTGGGTAATGGCAAAAATTTCAAGCGACCGTCGTGAATCCACGACGACAACGACGACGACGGTGACGCTGTGGTACTCTCTATGAGGAAAGAATCGAGATCACGATCGCGTGCGTCGTTACACCCTTAACGATTATCGTCACTCCTCGAGAGAGAGGGAGAGAGAGAGAGAGAGAGAGAGAGAGAGAGAGAGAGA